AATGTTATGACCTTGTTTAAATTAATTAACGCAATTATTAATATTTATCTTAATTGCAGAATAAACTTTAAGAAGAGTGAGAGAAAAATAAAGAAAAGATGTCAACTGCCCCTCTACCACTTGTTGAACATTTTGATTTGGTATTAAAAAGAAAGTCAAGCTATGTACGTGGTTTAAGTAAGGGAATAACTTCAAAAGCACAAGGGAAGATTCGTCTTCAAGAAGAAATAGAAACTTCAAAGAAGCGTGAAAATAATTTAGAAGAAGAAAGAGAAACAAGTTGCTGAAATCAAGCAAATCTTTGCTCACTTAGCAAGCAATCAAGGGATTCAAAATATGCTACACAATGCATCTCCATCAACTACCTCAAGTGAAGAATAGTCAAGACATTTTATTTTAAAAACTTTTTATTTGGATTCTGTTAGTTGTATTTCTTACAACGTATATTTGTTAGACAATAATGACTTTTTATATATATATTTTTAATTTGACGAGTAACATTAGTTGAATGAGTTATTTTATTTCAAATAATAATTAAATTAAAACATTTAATTATGACAAGAATTGTGACCAAGTAATGGTCATTTATATAAATATTAAGATTGACAATAGTACTATTTCAACTTATTTTAGTGACACAAATTTCGCTAACTAATTTTCAGTATTTTAGTGACAAATACGTTGTCACCATTTTCAAAGATATCAGTGACGAAGATGATGGTTACAAGAAATTGAATTGTTGTACGACTTTAGTTACCACTAATGATTGTTTTAGAGTTAACTTCTTTTGTCACAAATAAATACAACATTTGTTACCACGATTGTTGTCACAACAAAGTAATTATTGATACCACTATTTTGGTCACTGATAATCGTTTTTGCGTCAAGAAAAATTCTCACAAATAAGTACAACTATTGTGACTAAAGTGTTGTCACAATAAAATAATTAATTGCAACGATTTTAGTTGTCACTAGATCAATTTTTTGTAATAACATATTTGGTCACAAATTATACATTTATTGTGACAACTATCGTTATCACTCAAATACTACTTCTAGTGTAAGTAAATATTGTCACAAAAGTATCGAGTAATTGTGATAACTTTCAAAAGTCGTCACTACTACAATAGTGACGGAGGATATAGTGACGACAGGTGACGACTTCAAAAATTGGTCACTAATTTCAATAGTGACCAAAAATGATAGTTCCGGTGACAACTTCTGTTGTCACTAAATGTGAAATTTCGTGTAGTGATTGTATATTTTAAAGAATTAATATACAAAACCATATACAAAAACTTAATGCATATGAAAATAAATATTGCATTCTCAAAGCAATACAATCAACCAGGCAGAGATAGATTTATAAAGGCTCTGATACCAAATGTTAGATATACAAATAGTCTAACTATAATAAACCATAGTATACGAGGAACCTGACCTCGTATGATAGCGGAAGCGTAGCCGTGTTGATCTCCAGCCATAGTTGATGTTCCTGTTGTGTTGCCTCTTAACGGTAGACCGTTAGTCATGTTTTGCCTCAGACCTGACTCAGAACCCTAGATGGTGTATTGGTATCTACTGAGCGGTCTGAGTACCGTAACTGAATGTGCTAACATCCAACATCCTGTATCCCATCAATCCAGGATTATATTAGGCACAGAGTTTGGTTGACTAACAACTACTAGTTATTAAGTCCAACCAGACCACTTAATAAGCCTAGTCAACTTGCACCACTTAATTAAGGCCCTAATATATAATATATAATATATAATATATATTATTAGGGAAAATATTACAAAATCTTCACATATACCCATGAATTACAAGTTCTTGCTGAGGATCATCCTATTTCTGGAAAGAAAGGCAACTAGGCAAGCCTGTTACATTCTCAACTAGCACACAAGCTGAGTCAGGCATATTAGATATATACAAATAAATACATGTATTATACATGCATGTAAAACACAAAAGTTTATCTACTTGATAGCTAAATCATATAATCGAGCATCTCCAGCCATAGTTGTAGTCTACGTTCCATTTCTTGAAGAATGGTACAAAACTGAGTTTTGTCTACCACTTAATCTCCTGAGAAACTATGTAGATGGTATAGTTGTGAGGCTGTAACAGGAGTAGTGGGAGGACCATGCTTAAATACCTTACGTGCCATCATTATAGGCTATGTAACGAAAACCGTACCGTTACGTCTGTTTCAAACCACAACATAATGACCATAAATGACCTAATAAATTTGCAGCACTTAGTATTGTCATTACAATGGAAAATTTTACATTCTCACACTTGGTGCAAGTATTAACTCAAAGAAACAAAAAAACATAAACCATAGAGATAGTTCCTCTAAATTAAATGTGAGTAGTATCCATTTATGATCACAATGTAACTTGTTCTTTAAGTACTTTGGCAATTTATATCGTGCACCAGGGTGCGCATTGCATTGTGTGCCCTGATGCAAAACGACGTCGTTTCATATTTTTATTTTTATTTTTTTTTGAAATTTCGCTACCACGTGTTGGCGGTTAATTTTCTTTTAAAAAAAAATCTCATGTTAAAAAATGTACATAAAACTAGAACACAAATAATTGTATACATGAATTTACATAATTGTATAACAAAATACACATATTTTTTTAAAAAAAGATAATACATATAATCTAACATAATACATAATACACATAAACTTTTAACATAATACACATAAACTCTTAACATAATACACATAAATTTCATGTTTCGGATGTACATAATTGTATAAAAAAAATGTACATAATTGTATCAAAAATGTACATAATTGTATAAACAAATAGTCAAATACACATAATTGTATACCATAATGTACATAATCACGTCAACGCCCTACATAACTTACTAAAATGACGTCGTTTTGGGAGGCGCGGGGTGCACAGTGCTATATGCGTCGTGGTGCAGGATATAACGATTGAAGTACTTTATGTGGTAATAAAACTTAATGAAAAAACATTATGTTTATTCTTGAATGTAATTTGTTATTAAAAACTAATTACTGCCACAATGGCTAAATTTGGCCTAATCACACTTACACCACTTAATTTGTACAACATTAATAGAATATATTACAATTTTTCATTCGGTGCATGTATTGGCAAAACCTCCATTGAAGATAAAAAAAACATGAATCATAGCGGTATGTCACTGTTGGAAATTATGAAATTTTCGACCACCTGAAAGTGATCTTAAATCAAGTTGAAAGCAAAAAGTGGCCGGAAATAGCAACGAAGATTTTTCCGAATACCAAAAGTGGTCGGAACAAGGCTTTCGACTTAATTTAAGATTAAGTTCAGGTGGTCGGAAATTTCATAATTTCCAGCAGTGTGTGCTCTAAATTAAAGTGCGAGTAATATCTTCTATGCAACACATGCATTTTTATTCCCAACTCAAGTCCTTTATAAATAAACCCTATGTTCATTCTTGGTCCACCCTTAGGGATTGATGGGGAATATGTCCCGGATTTAAGCTCCTCGTACGCTCCGTGATCCTACTTGGGTCAGGTCAGTGTCAACGAGTCAAGGTCAACCCGCCAACTTTATAAATAGGGCCTTAGCCCTCCAAATTAGGGATTTTCCCTTTTCCTCTCTCTAATAGACCTATTCTCTCCCTTCTCTCTAAAGCATAAGAACAATGATGAATAAAAGAGATTTACTTTGTTCTACTACTATATTGTTCATAAACATACATACGGTACATACATTCCACGTACAATCTGGAATCTGTCGGGATCGTGACAAAGAGTTACGTTCCTACCATTCTAGAAAAATTAAAGCTTAGTGCAAAATTGGTTTGAAGAGGTTCGGGAGTTAGAAGAATCCAAACTCAAAATTCAAGAGTTAGAAGGATTTGAACCTAAACATTCAAACTGCCAAACAATCACCTCAACCACCAGACCAATCGGTACATTGGTTCCTTTTCTCTGTTCATTTCAATTTTAAGGACAGATTGCTCATCGTCCTCCAAGAAAAAGGAAAAGCTAGAGAAGAGATTCTGGAAATGAAAAAGGATTCAAACCCAGGTGTTCATGCTACAAGCATACCAATGCCCCAACCACTGCACCACCATGTTTGTTAGTTCCTTTCCTTTGTTGGCTTTTTATTTATACTTCTCTTCTTCGAGCAGTAGGAGGTTCTTGAGGTCCAGAGCACCTCTCCTCAACACGTTTCATTCAGCAGAATCGCCATGCATGCCGCCACCCAGATGAGCAGGTCCACCGTCCACCCCATCTCCTTCACTGAGCAAACCCAAAACTTCACCGCCATCTTTCTCCCTTTCTCTATCCTCCATGTTTAATAGTCCTGAGAGCTCTGCGTGTTCAATAACCAAAGACTTCCCCCACCGCCACGCTGCATGGCCAGGGAATGGTCTCGATGGACTCATCGGAGACAGGCGACAACCATCGTCTGATCTACTCCACTGCTTTATAGCATTCTCCTCCAAACAACCATCCACATCATCTCGCGTTGTATCAAAGGTCTCGATTTTACATTATAATTTTTGGGTTCTGAAAAATGAAGGGACGAAGCTACACAACAATCTGATGTTTTCTGAGTCCTTTCTCAACTTAAGGAAAAAAGGACCACGTGATTGAGGGCCACGACAAAAATCAAAGAGTGTTTTCCTGAGTATTTACACACATCACCACGCCATTGCAGACCAGTATTTGGAACCTGCTGTTGATGTACCACTCCAAGAGAAGAGTATCTTGAACCTGCTGTTGATGTACCATTCCAAGAAAAGATGAATAGCAGATTTTCTGTGATATTAGAGGAAGGAAAGAAAATGTGACAAGGGTATATCTGTACTTTCATTTTCTTGCATTAGTTGTTACAACTGCCACCACACTATTTAATAAGTGGCAGATTCCCCTTCCTTGTTTGTAACGTCCATCTTCATCTTCTCCGCCCAAATGAATAAACTCTCACACTTTCTTCAAGCTTAGTCTGTATCGCGAAATGGTATCAGAGCGACGGTCGAGCTCATACGCCGCCGCCGTTACCGGCGAAGCCAGCCAAGGAGGACATGCAACTACACCAGCAGTTGGATTGCCAACACGCACGTCCTCAACAGCAACTCCACAGAGGAGTCTTCATCTGCAAAGGAGCTATGCAGTGGAAGATATGGAGAATCCATATTTCCTCAGTGCAAGCGAAAATCCTTCTGTGATTCTGGTTAGTCCGCTTCTAGCAGGAAGTTCCAACTACGCTTCCTGGTCAATCTCGATGAAAATTGCTTTGGAAGTCAAAAACAAATGGTGCCTCGTCGACGGAAGTCTTCCGGCACCAAACAGAGGCAACAGCCGCTATGGAGCTTGGAGGCACTGCAATTTGATGGTGTGCTCGTGGATTTTTTAGATCGGTTCATGCCTCCATCGCTCAATCCATCATGCATATAGAGAGTGCAGTAGACGTCTGGGAGGATTTGAGAAAGCGTTTCGCACAGTGCGACGCTCAGAAGATCTCCGCCTTACAGAATGAGATCTACGAGGCGAAGCAAGTTAATCTCTCTGTTAGTGATTACTATACCAAATGTAGAACTATGTGGGAACAAATGAATGCTTTAAGACCTATTCCTAGTTGTAAATGTGAACCGAAAAGTGTCTGTGACCTCATTGATATAATTAGAAAGGAAAGGGAGATCGATCAAGTCATACGGTTTCTCCAAGGTTTAAATGACGATTATAATGGTCTGAAATCTAGTGTCCTTGTTATGGATCCATTGCTGGAAGTATATAAGGTGTATGTGATGGCCAAAAAGGTTGAGAGGCAGATTAGTGCACCAATTCTGAGTAGCATCGAGATCAGTCAGGCAAACAGTGTCCAAAATGCCCATAGTTCTACAGAGGAGATGGTGGCTGCTATGAACTCCTATAATGCTAAGAAATATGGAAGCAATGCAGGCAATAAACCTAAGTGCATTTTCTGCGGAATAACGGGGCACACCGTTGACAAGTGCTACAAAAAACACGGTTATCCCCCCGGGTGGATTCCGGGATACAAATCTAAGATGAAACAGCAGAGTGTTGCACCAGTGGTGAGCAACTCAACAGACCTGGGAATTTCCAGTGATCAATTTCAGAAACTGATGATAGCTTTGCAAAATCAGATGGGGCAGCAGCCTACTAGTTCCAGTGCCACAGCTGCAGTATCCTTGATTCCAAAATTCACTAAGAATGCTGAGGAAGGCAAGTATTCTATTTCTCAAATTAATTTCCTTTCAATTTGTGCATCAACTTGGATTTTAGATTCCGGAGCCACGGACCACATAGCTTGTTCTATTGAACTGTTTGATGAGTATTATAATGTTGAAGGGGATGAAGTTAGCCTGTCGAATTGGAGTCGAATTAAAGTTAGAAACAGAGGCACTGTAAGGCTTGGACATGATTTATTGCTTAAAGATGTTATGCATATTCCAACATTTCACTTTAATATCGTCTCAGTAAGCAAGTTGCTCCAAGACAAGTCTTATAGCCTAACATTCTCCTCTGAACAGTGTATAATTCAGAAGCCACATGGGATGACGATTGGTTTAGCTGAACAAGAGAGAGGGCTTTATCTGTTGAAGCCACCAAAGGATCTGCTGTTCACAAAAGTTTAGTCATGCAATGTAATAAAACTGAGATTTGGCATAGGCGTTTGGGACAGTTTCCTGTAAATAAGTTGCATTTGCTTAAAGAGACTCAAAATTTGCCCATAGTGAATAAAGCTTGTGATGTGTGTCACTTTGCCAAACAAAAACGTTCTCCTTTTCCAATAAGTATTTCTTCTTCAAATACTTGCTTTGAGTTGATACATGCAGATATTTGGGGTCCCTTTCCGTTTTATTCAATGAAGGGAGAACGCTATTTCTTGACATTGGTAGATGATTACTCCCGGTTTACGTGGCTGCATTTGATGAAAAGAAAGTCAGAAGTTGGGAACCTGATAAAACAGTTTCATAGCTATGCTTATACACAATTTGGAATTCTAATTAAAACAATTAGAAGTGACAATGGGCCCGAGTTCAACTTGACAGATTTCTATGGTGAGAAGGGAACAATTCATCAGACTTCGTGTGTCAACACTCCGCAGCAAAACGCTGTGGTAGAAAGGAAGCATCAACATATCCTCAACGTGGCCAGAACCTTACGCTTCCAAGCCCAGCTGCCTCTAGAGTTTTGGGGCCAATGTGTCATGCACGCCGTATACATCATCAACCGCATCCCATCTCCAGTGATTGAAGGAGTTAGTCCTTACCGCAAACTGTATGGTAAAGATCCTACTTTCACTATGCTAAGAGTTTTTGGTTGCTTGTGTTTTGCTTCAACTTTACCTCACTCAAGGAACAAGATGGATCCTAGAGGAAGAAAATGTGTATTCATTGGCATACCAGCTAATACGAAGGGATACATATTATATGACTTGCTTGATAACACTGTTTTTGTCTCGCGAGATGTGGTTTTCTATGAGCAGGAATTTCCTTTCTCCGGGCAGCCAGTCAAGACATTTCCTCAATCTTGCAATCCTTCTTTGTCAATTATCCCCACATCAACTATGTTGAATTATGAGCAGCCACAAGCTTCACGGGCTAATCATGAGTCCACTCCAGCGGACCCCTCTGTTGATCAGTCATCGAATGAGCTTCATCCTACCATAGTTGAATCCTTGCCAGTGGACAGTGACACTCCCAATACAACCATCCACGAGGAGGAGGCCATTGTTAATTCCCCAATTCCCTTGAGAAGGTCACACATAGAAAGGCACATACCCAGAAAATTACAAGAATATTTTTGTGACATGGTTCGGAAACAAGGTTCTTCGCCTCATACTATATCCAAGTATGTATCGAATTATCGCCTAGACCCCTTGCATATGGCTCTCACATTATCTATCACGTCTATAACGGAGCCTCGCACATATAATCAAGCCATCAATGAGGAATGCTGGAGGAATGCAATGAAGGTAGAAATTACTGCTCTGCAAAATAATAAGACATGGCAGCTAACAGACTTACCAGTTGGAAAGATCCCCATAGGTTGTAAGTGGGTCTACAAAGTCAAGCTCAAAGCGGATGGTTCTATCGAAAGATATAAGGCCAGGCTGGTGGCTAAGGGTTACACGCAACAACTAGGCGTGGACTACTTCGAAACTTTTTCTTCGGTAGCTAGGATGACAACTATTCGAACTTTCCTAGCTGCGGCTGCATCCAAGGCATGACATGTTCATCAATTAGACATCAATAACGCCTTTCTCCATGGGGATTTAGACGAAGAGGTTTATATGGTTCTCCCCCTGGGCTTCCAAGGAGAGAAGCCGAACCAAGTTTGTAAACTGCTGAGATCGTTGTATGGCTTAAAGCAGGCGAGCCGGCAGTGGAATGTCAAACTCACAGCCGCCCTTTTGCGTGATGGTTTCAAGCAAGCAGCTGTTGATCCGTCTCTGTTTACTAAGGGTACAGGCCGTGACTATATTGCTCTTTTGATATACGTTGATGACATCCTAGTAGCAAGCAGTGAATTAACTAATATTCAACAAATCAAAGAGTCACTGGATGAGGCTTTCAAAATTAAAGACTTGGGTGTTCTAGGATATTTTTTGGGTATTGAGGCTAAAGTCACCACTGCTGGTTTGAATTTGTGTCAAAGGAAGTATGCCCTTGACATCTTGAATGATGCCGGATTCATCAATTGCAAACCAGTGAGCACGCCAATGGTCCCGGGCTCTCACTTATCACAACATGATGGCACACCGCTAAATGATCCCGGCAGTTGTCGTCATTTGATTGGGAGATTGTTGTATCTTACGGCCACAAGGCCGGATATCACATATGCTGTTCATCGGCTCAGTCAATTCGTTAGCTCTCCAACCGACATCCACATGGCTGCTGCACATCACATACTTCGTTATATCAAAGGGTCGCCTGGACAAGGCATTCTATATCCAACTGCCACCACTCTTCTGCTCAAGTCTTTCTTCGATTCAGACTGGGCTTCATGCCATGACACCCGCAGATCAGTCACAGGATATTGCATATTTCTTGGCCAATCCCTTGTATCTTGGAAATCGAAGAAACAAGCTACAGTTTCAAAATCTTCATCTGAGGCAGAATACCGGGCACTTGCTACCACTGTTTGCGAGCTACAATGGCTCACTTCATTACTTCAGGCTTTGCAGGTTGCTGCCAGTGAGCCTGCCATTGTCTACTGCGACAATAAGTCCGCTGTTGCGATTGCTGAAAATAATGTCTTCCATGAAAGAACTAAGCATATTGAAATCGATTGCCACGTAGTTCGTGAAAGAATTGCTCAAGGCCTTGTCAAGCTGCTCCCTGTTTCTACTCTCAACCAAGTCGCAGATGGTTTTACCAAGGCTCTTCCAATCTCACTGTTTGGATCTTTTGTCTCTAAGCTGGGTGTTCAAAATTTACACACTCCACCTTACGGGGGGGTATTAGAGGAAGGAAAGAAAATGTGACAAGGGTATATCTGTACTTTCATTTTCTTGCATTAGTTGTTACAACTGCCACCACACTATTTAATAAGTGGCAGATTCCCCTTCCTTTTTTGTAACGTCCATCTTCATCTTCTCCACCCAAATGAATAAACTCTCACACTTTCTTCAAGCTTAGTTTGTATCGCGAAATGTGAATATGGCTATGGTTCTTCATCTTCAAAATTGGGAGTAGAGTGTGAATAACAAGAAAATAGGGAACCATTAATTTCTTTTATTTTAGTCAAGAGATGACAGATTCTTCTTTCCCAGTGATTAGCTGCATGTGGTCAGTCTAATGGTGATTAGATAGTGCATGCATGCACTTTAATTGGTGGGTGTGGCGGTGTAGCGCAGAAATCAAGCCAAGTGGATGGAAAGAGAAAAGAAATGAGAGATTAAGGGGTCGTTTACTTCGTTTCTCTGTTTCTCCATTTCTCTATTTCTCCAGTTTTCCATTTCTCCATTTTTCCAAATTTCCTTCTCCATTCTTCCAGTTTTCCATTTCTCCAATTTTCCAATTTTCATTCCCCATTCCTCTAGTTCTTCATTTCTCTAATTTTCTGACTTTATTAAATACAAGCATCACATATAGCATTTTTACATTTCTACAACAAATATGTATATATATATATATATATATATAATAAAGATAATAATAATAATAATAATAATAATAATAATAATAATAATAATAATAATAATAATAATAATAATAATAATTTTCCGCAAAGCAAAACTGTAAGCAGGCAAGCAGCAAACAAAAATTGAATCAAAGGCGACAAAACTGAAGCAGCAAGCAAAAGTAAAATCAAACGCGCAGAGTTGGATTCAAACCTACAACCTCTTGCTAAGGTTACTATTCACCCATAATTCCTCCATCCCTC